CCTCACGAGTTGGAAAATGCCACTTATATGGCGTTGCGTTTCGATGGTACTCATTTCGATCTTGTCTCTTCCTCTTATTTCGAAGAATCAAGAGCTAGTAGCTGTAGTAGAACGTCGACCGTTGATCTTGATCTTGAAGACAGCAAACTCCATTTATTATGCTGCTGTATGAACTACACTGACTTGTACTTACATTCTCATCTCTCACACTAGACCATCAATCGTTTTCTTGCACTAATCTTTCTTCTCTCACTCGCTTTCTCTCTAGGTTCCTCCAGCCGCAAGAGCTCCTCATCCTACCTCCTCTGGGACGACGATGAGCGATGCAGACAGATCGGGTTATCTATGCTGCATGCTAAAAATTCGGGCCGTGGCCGAAGTATTTTATTCGTGGGTCGCAAAATCGAGAGGAAGCAGGCCGCGGAAGCGATAAACTTCCTAGCTGCGGACGAAGATGCTTCTTCTAGTGAAGAGGATGGCGACAGTGTGGATTCTGGGTGCTTGGCTGCGAATCTAGTAACCTTCGAGTGGTGCCAATTTTTACAGGCTCTGAAGAACAAGAAGAAAGCGGAGGCAAAAGCGGCAAAAGAGGTATTTTTAAGCGTGTTGTCGGCATTTTTGTTTGCATGCTTACTGTAGTAGTTCTCTTATAACTTACTACGTTACATACTGTAGTAGTTCTCTTATAAATTAGACTACGCTTATTTATTGCTTGCTGACGGATGAATCATATGACTTTCTTTTTCAGTTTTGATGTCTATCATTCGACTTCGATTTTTACTTTCTCGATGACACTCACAGAAATTTTCGATTTTCATCATTTTCCTATGACTGTCCCTCCACTTCTACAACATGTACTACGCATGACAAACTAACTTTATCGTTCAGTTCGAGAACAACGAACAAATAGAGGATATTTGAGCATCGATGTTTCGAATTTCAATGTTGAAGATTTGCATTTTCAATCGAACACAAACTCATCTTCATTGAATCAATCAACATTTCTCATCTGGTAGTGCCTGAATTTTTACCAAGAAGATCTACTTTTTTCTCCAACATTTCTTTCAGGCTATCGACGTCAAGGTTGAAGCGGACGATGAAGATGAGGCGGCTTCTGTATCCGACGAGGATGAAGATATGAAAGACGGCAGTGAAGAGCACGATGACCAGCAAGAGAAGGAGGACGATGAGGAACAACAAGAGCAAGAGTCTTCAACGAAGAAGGTTGACCTTCAGGAGTTGATGGCAACCGCCAATGTGCTGATTATCGATTACGATGAGTACAGCCGTGCGACGGCTCATGACGTTTTGCGATTATCTCAGTGGTTTCGTGGTGGTGATACATCTGACGAAGACGGAGGCGCAGAGTGCACCAGAAGCGGCATCGTCGCCTTTGAGGACGCGGAGAGAATCGCAACAGTAGACTTCAAGGCGGAGGAAAAAGCGGAAGCTGTAGAGGGTGAAGAAGTAGATGAGCAAGGGAACAACAACAAGAACGCTACAACATCAACTGTTTCAAGTTCCACGAAGATCGCCAAGTACTCGCAGATGCTTTTGGAGTTGTGTCCGGGGTCGTCCATCATCTATGCCAGTGCTGCGCCAATAGGAAGGCAGGGAGCGAAGACCGGGAGCCTAGAACATCTTCGAAGCACAGGCATCTTCGGCAATAAGCGCCTGCCGTTTGCTGTGTGGGTTGAGGAGTTCGGGAACTCTGAAGCGAAGCGCATTTTGGATGCTGCTCGCGGTGTGCTGGCGAAGAAAAATGGACTGGACGAAAAAGAGGATGATGAAGAAGAAGATTCTGGTGGTGAGAAGAGTCCGCTCAGTCCGGACTCCATGAAGAAGCTCGTCGGCACCATCAATCCGTGGAACGACGGGAAACAACTACAGCGTGAGCTCGAGCACAGGTTCGACCTAGCAGGTGGCGAGCTTTTGTGCTCGCATCTTCGTGCAAGTGGAATCATGTCCAACAGGGTGACCAACAACGCCCTTCATGATGCCGAAAACACAACGGTCAACGAGGTGGTAGTCGGTGACGATTCCGAGAGCGCGAGCCTCGTGCGCGACCTGCGACTGCTTCTGGCGCGCTTGAAGAGTGAGCTTGCGCTTTTTCTGGACGACCCCGAGCTGATGCAAGCGTACGAGCACCAATGGAACCAGAATAAAGCCAACATCTACAACAACGGGAAGAATGGCGCAAGCGGGTTCCCTCAAGTACGAACAAAAGTCTATCGCTTCTACTGGAGCGTCGTGCATGATTGCTTCCAGGTTTTGATGTCGCATTGCAAGATGGAGGCGGCGATCGAACTGGCCGAGAAGGAGCTCGAACAGGAAAAGCAGGTGGTGCTGATGATAGAAGGCCATATGTCGTCGAGCGAGCGGGCCCGCTTTCGTGAGATCAAGAACGACATGATGCAAACCGGCGAAGACGTGGAGGGACGCACTCTAGCTACGCTCCTCGCATGTGATCGTGAACTTCTGAGGCGAAAGGAGGAGGAAGAAAACAACATGCTGCCGAGCAAGGAGGAAGAAGAAAACAGCGTCGACGATGCTTCTTCCAGTGCAAGTGCAGAACAAGGAGCACTCGGCGCAGCACCACCGGAGTTGCTCTTCGAAAGCGCAACACTGCTGCAGCAGCGCGCTCTTCTACCTGGCTTGCTGGAAGACAGGCTCGCAAATGCTATCGAGACTCTTCTGCCGGTCTACATTCCAGTGCCTGGTCTAGCGGAGCAGCGAAAACAGAAAGCGAGTAAGCAGGCTAAGATGCAGGCGGCAGCAATGAAGAAAGGCGGCAAGATGACGATGAAAATGGCGAAAGCTGGCATGAAGAAGATGAACGTCGTGAAGAACAAGATGATGAAGAAACAAGCTGCGCCTGCTGCGATGAAGAAAGTTCCGGTGATGAAAGCAACTGCTGTTGCCGCGAAGCAGAGCAAGATGAAATCGGCTCGCGGAGTTCCGACCGCGTCCAAGAAGGAGGAGCTATGGCCTGCGACAGCATGGCTTTTGAGCAAGAAGCATCTCCTTCGACGACGCGCTCTGCTAAAGGCCGTCCATTCGATCCCGTGGCCATCGAAAACTGTCGACTCTCTCCTCGATCGCTTCGGAGGGCCTACGAAGGTCGCAGAAATCACCGGTCGCTACTTTCGCTGGGAGCGCAAAACGTACTACAGCGACGAGCCCGAAGATGCTGCGGCAAACACACGCTTCGTCTTCGTTGACCGGAACCAGGAGGCGGGAATGGGTGCAGTGCGGCACGAGAAAGAGGCGACTGCTTTTCGCATGGGCGCGAAAGCAGTCGCCATCTGCAGCAAGATGGCGAGCAAGAAGGCGCAACTGGGACCGAGAAAGAAGACGGACGTCGATGCAATTGGCGAGGCGGCTATGCAGCTTGCTGGAGTCGATCGGTCTCTGAGTCAGCCGGTCAGTGCGCGAACAGTAATCTGTCTCGACCTACCACGCGACGCGAAGGACCTACAGTCTATTCGATCTATGGTGACTGGCGGAGCAGGTGACGAGGCCAACAGCGTGACCATCAAAGTGCTAAGAACCGACTATGCTGCTGAAATTGGATCGCTTGCAACGATGACGGGGCGCCTCAGGAGGACTAACGCGCTAACCAAAGGCGATAGATCTTTGGAGGTGGAGGACTTTAATCATGTCGATGTCAACGATGGAAAGATCGCAAAGCGCGCTTTCGACATCTTGGCTGATGAATTGAAGACCACTACGGCACCAGTTTGGCGTCCTTCAGCAGCGTCAGGAGCAAAAAAAGCATCAACATCGTCCAAAGTTTCGTCTGCTTCGGCGGCTGCACTCAATAAAAGCGACGGCTCGTCTACGGAGCATCAACATGATGCTGGAGAGCAGGAGGAAGACGGTGAATTGGAAACTTCTGCTCGCGGACCTGGTAAGAAGGAGAGACTCCTTCCGACTGAAGACGAAGATGACGCTCCACCAGCAAAAACGATGAAGAAGCAATCCGTCGACTACTACGCATCGGCGCCGCAGTTCATTGCAGAATTTTGGCATGACCAGCGAGCTTTTGCATGTGGCCACGCAGACCAGAAGTTGTCGCCTCAAGCCTGGAATAACTGGCGCAACTACGCTCGCGGGGAGTTGCAAGCTGCCGGCGTCCACAACTTCGACGCCTTAGCTGATCAAGTTGATGCTGTTGAAGAGGACGATGCTGAGGCTGCTCCAAGCGTGCCCGCAGCGACCAACAGTCTCGGAGTCAAGCAGTTTTACCTACGATTGCACACAGTACCAACCCAGTTGCAGACGCAGTTGCATTGTTTTTTTTTGCATATTCGAAAGGCATTAGAGCGAGAGCTGAACCAGACTCAGTACTTTCACAATGGCATTGCGGCACTGGGCGAGAAACATAAAGCGGAGCCGGAGGTAATAAAAACTAACTTGCTTTGGATACGTGGCGTTATCATTTATCCACGATCTACATCTACAACTTCTATGATCATTATTATCTTTGTTTTGCTCATTTTCAACATTCTATTCTTGTTCTTGTTGGTTCCTTTTGTTTTTGATCTTTCGCAATTATCCACATCCCAACATCGATTGATTTTGTGTTTTCCTCATTCAGGTCGATAAGTCGGAGATTCTGTACCGAAATCCGGAAACGGGCGCCACATGTACGCTTGTGACCGCAGAAGTGGACCGCGGCACTACGTGGCAAGACGTCTATGAAAACTACGCGACGCTGCTAACGACATCGCGCAACCAAGGAACACTGCGGCAGGACTACAAGGAGTTCTGCTCTCGCCCTGCCGACGAGCAAGAGGCTCGGAAAGCACTCGGAAGCATGATGGGGACGGGAAACAAAGCTACGGGGCCACTAATGCTCGACAACTTGTTCAACCTTTGTGGTTTTTGGCGCTACGATGGCGATGGTATGAAGCAGCTGATCTTTGTGCAAGGTGAGACTGATTCGTGTGGACGTGTGACGCACTTAACGTTGCATGCTCCAAACTTGTCGTTCGCCACAGAATTCCCGCATTTAGCGCCGCTGATCGATCCAGATTCTAAACACGGAACCAGAGGCGTTTCCGGAATGACTCGATCCAGCTCGTTGCTTGATGGCGCGAAAACCAAGAAGCGCAGCAGAAGCCAGAAGAAGACCGCGGTCAAGCCGGGAAACAGCGAACAAGATGGTGACGATGCTGACCTCCTAGCTGTAGACAATGACTCCTTCGAAGAGGAAGATCATGAGAATCAAGGCACTACATCCACAACAACTACATCGACTTCTACAAACATCATTTTGGGACCTAATCGCTGCACGCCACTGACCAGACCAATTCTTGAGGCGAACTTCACGAAAGTAGAGCACGAAGGTGAACACAAAGATGCGTTTGAGAAGGAGTGGCGCAAGCACTGGACGCACCTCTACAAGGAGACAGAGAAGAACAATCTGATGGATGTTGTTTCGACATACAAGGAAATCAATGGACTCACATCTTCTTCCAGCGAACAAGAGAACAATACCAACACTAACTTGGACAGTGAAATCGAACAGGATAACGCAACTAATTCCTCTAGATCCTCGCTCGGTCGGCGGGTCTCGCCGATGTACCTCCTGCATGGCAACTTCCTCGATCTTGCCGCACTCTCCGCAAACCTGTTCACGTGTGGAAAAGGAAAGACAGCGGCGGTCCGCCGCGAATATGTCGAGGGCATTGGTTACACCGTTGTCATCGACCCGAGCAAGGTGCTGAATTGGATTAGTAGATGCAGGAGTAGCTTCTCATACAGTTACATAGACAAATCGTCCTGTTTCTGTTTGCATTTCCTTCTTGATTTTCTGTTCATTATAGACCTACTCATCGAGGTCGAATTTTTTGTCAACTTTACCTCTCTGAACTTGAGTTTTAGATTCTTGATTCTGATCAATATAGCCTCTTGGAGCGCCTTAACCTCGGAGAGTAGATCTCGTTTTCTTTTTAGAGCTACGCTTGCAAAGTCGTGAAAGTTCTTCTCCTTCATCCGAGGATCTTCACGTTCTTCACTCTACAAACACAACGCTTTATTTCACCCCAGGTAGAGATCGTTCGCGACGCCGGAAAAATGCTGAAAAAAACAGGCAGCACCGTGAATAGTCTCTTGGAGCGCCTTAACCTCGGAGAGTATCCCCAGGAATTGGTGGAGGAGCTTCAAGCGGTGGGTGACGACGAGACAAATGTGCTGGTCCCTCAAGGCTTCGCGATGACTCGCGCAGATCGCGCAGTCCTGAAGACGATTCGCAGCACCCTGGACGAGTCAAGCAAAGAAACCACTGAAGACGCTGAGGAAGATGCTTTTGGAGGAGACGACGCAGGACAGCAGAAGACCAAAAATACATTGGACTTCTCCAATTGCAATACTTACGGCCAGTTTACTACGTAGGAACAATCATCCAGATACAATGAACTCAAATTTTGTATGGCATGTGAGAAGTCACACTACAACCACCTCTTCTAAAATACTTCGATCGAATGCGCGTTGGAGTTCACGAAAGCACTGTGGGCCAGCGGATGGGACAACAGGACAGGGCTTATCCTGGCAGCTCACGCGTTTAAAAGGTTCACGGATCCGACTCGCGCTGAATTTTTATACCGAGAACTGGACTACTCAACTGGTAAACCAAAGGCAAAGCCGGGATATAAGATCTGCAGCAGCATGGTGGAGCTCTGCATCGATGAGCCGGCAGAATACTACAGACTTTACGGCTTCCCAAACCACAACATCATCTATCAAGATAAGTAAGTGCCTCTTGCTGCTCCTCTTCAATGGAAGTAGAAATGCCTCCCTTTTATTCTTGTATCAACATGTAGCGTGTCTGCTCTCAGATGAGCATCTCATTGATTCTCAGCACCGTTCACATGAAAGACCCCTTCACAGTGTTCATCTTCTCGACTTGTAGAAATACGAAGACGCTCTTCAAACAGGATGACGTAGTAATAGAAGTAGATAGATTTCTGGTACTACTCAATCTCGATCTGCAAGCTCTAATGAATTCTCAAGCAGGAGCTCCAAGATGAAGATATGCCGAAAAGCAAAGCAGTGACAGCCTTGAAGAAGCGAGTGAAGAAGCTACGAGCAGAGGGCGGAGCAGATGAGGACATCAAGAAAGAAGAGCAAGCAGATACCGAAGAAGAAGCTGGCCCATCGGGCAAGCGAAAAAAACTCTCTTAATCAGATTGACTAACTTTTTCCTCGGAGATGAACTTCGAGGTGGTGGATATTACTAGGTAGATCAACATCATGAACAAATGAAAATGATTATGATTTAGATAGATTATGTTGCTGGTCCTGCTTCTCGATACTAGCTGCAGTACATACCTGTGATGTCTGCAGCTGAAAGAAGCTGATCTTAATTTCCATCCTCATTTTTTGAAGTAAGACTTCTATAGAAATCCTGAGTGCGATCCACGGGAACAACGTCTTTCGATAAGAATACGATTACAGTATCTTCTCGACGGGAACAACGTCTTTCGATAAGAATAAGATTACAGTATCTTATTTGTATTTCCTCCTCCACCCTTGAGCCCTGCCTTTTACCAGTGCAGCGGTCTCATCCGGCCTTGGTCGTCCAGTCGAAAATTTCGAAAAAAATGTTTCAATCTTCCTCGAAAATATTGACGCAATGCGTACAAGTATGGACTTCAATATTTATACACTGCAGAGGTTACAACTTCTCGCTTCTCAGAGCTACAACAACTAGTCGCGTAACTCGATCTTGGTACCAGGATGAATTCCTACATCAAGTCGATACAAAAGTTCAATGTGCTTTTGTTTGATGATGATATGGTATCGTCGACTAGAATCTTGATGATATCGACGTTGTTGACAACATTTCGATATATCAATTTCAATCCCTAAGCATAAGCAGCTAGCGTCAGCTTGTCCTGGAAAAGATAATTGTAGTCGATGTCGATTGAAAGAAAACTATTCAATTTTCACATTTTTCTATCCACCTAGTTGTACTTCAAAAATTCTTTCCGACGTCAAGAACTCTATTCATCTAGAAAAAGAAATATTCACGACCGCATTCAACTAGTAGATTCGAATCGCGGAACTCTCTTCAAAAAAGTGCCATACCTACGGCCACCAGTAGGTACTAGACAAATTCACAATTATCGAATGATGAACTGCATTTTTTCTTATTTTTCAATTTTCACAATGCAACGTCTACTTTTTACAACCGAGGATATGATTAGTTGAACTGTAGAAATACTCCTTCCTTTATGGCCGTGGGCAATAAATTGATAAATATGTTACTTGATAGTTAGAGAAATTATTATGGCGATGGTCGATCATCGTCTATTGCAGACGTGTATTGTTCAAAACACACTTGTGGGAATTTTCAGAAACAATGACTAGATCTTCAACATCATTCTACTTCTAGACAAGAACTACAAGAAACGAGTACACCTTCAGGACGAAGAACAACGGCCAAGCAGTGTCTTCTAGATGAAGACTATACAACACATCATGCAGCAGTACCAAGATTAAGATGACCACGGCAAGACGAGTGCGTTCCCACCGCGCACGATCGCCAATGCGGCCTATCGGTTATCCAGTCTGCAAAAAATGTTCTATTACAGTCAGAGTGCTGTCGTTGAAATGATTCTGCGACAGTCTTCGAAGTGTCCTGGTTGTCAATCATTTCCAGTAGTTCTTCTTCTTCAGAGAAATTTCATCGTGCATGATGATTTACTCGTTCGGTAAGAAAAGCACACAAAAGAACAAAAAAAAGAAACTACACTCACCATCTCCATCTTCCACCCATAATCTGCTCATAAAGAAAATGATGCATGAGAACGAGAATAACCATGATCCCCTTTGCGTTATCCCATAATGCACAACATCAGCTCACCAAGCGAACGTCTTCAGGAGCGACAAAAGCTACAAAAATGGGTATCAAGTACGTCTAATATTCATCGGTATCAATACATCACTGCTCCTGTGGTCAAATAATACAGTTACGCAGATTTAGAAGAGGGTTAAGGTTTAAGACTAAGTACACGCGTTGTTCTTCATGTAAGGGTTGTAACTTGTTAGAGGATAAGACTGCATCTGCTTCCCGTGAGGGCTATACAACTTCAACTATCTAACTACTTTTACTCTATTTATTATTCAGACTCGTTCTACGTACTTCTAACTACTACCTTAACACTAGACGTGGTCGAGTACAACACCTACAAGAAGAACTACTTATTCACAGAAGATAACTCATCACTACCCGTCTGAACAACAGTAGGAATAGCAAAATCGCGGGTGTTTTAAAAAATGAAGCATCTTTTCAATTTCATCCCACCTTGGAGCACCGCTCTGCTCTACATGGCAGATGCTGCTTCGATTCTATCAACTTCCTCCATGTCCTCGTCCGCTCAAAAAAGGAAGAAGCAGGATGACGATTCTGGACGACGAGGAAAAAGGATTAAATATGAGGATATTAAAAAATTTGCAACTGGTGCTGAACAAGATGATGCTGGACAAGATGATGTTCATCTTGTTCATGTTGCAAGAACTGGTAAGAAACGTATTTTTAAAAGGGAACAGGAAGATGAACAAGAAGATCTGGGACCGGAACAAGGACGGCAGCAGAGTCGTGAAAATGCAGAAACCAAACTGGAACTACATCTTCAACAAGAAGGGAAACTACAACAAGGGGACGATAATCATATAGCCAAACAAGAAGAAGGCGAAGATGTTGATCTACTCGATCAGGAGATGGAACAAGTACAGGTGGAAAAGAATGATCACGACATAGAGCAAAAGAACGTCGTGGAAGACGAAAGCGTGAAGATGAGAGCTTTCCGTTTCATGGGTTCCACGTTCTTGACGAATGAAACCTCAGGAGGACCCTCGTCTGCGTTTTATCTCCACGACCTTGAGGCGCTTCGCGGTGTTTCGAGAGGGATCGGGAAAAAAGACGCATACCAAATATCAATATCTTATCCCTCTCCTGTTGACGACTTTTTAGGTGTAGTTGTGCTGGAAAACAAGAAAGAAGGTACTTATGTAGTAGATAACGGAGCAAAAACTGGAGAAGGTGGCACAGGAGCACCTGGTCGTGGTGATGCTGACTCACCAGCAGGTCGTGAATCAGGAGTAGGACATCACTCATCCCCAAAAGAGTGCGGTGCTGATGTGCTAAAAGTGCGCATCGAAAATTTGAGGGCACAGATGAAAGATACTACAAATACAAAGGTGACACGTGGTCCTCACTCCAAGTATGTCGAAGATCTAATCGAGTTTCCATGGATCTTGGAATCGCTCGGACATGAAGCCATTACATTGAAAGACGCTCAGTTTCGCATGCTGGAGGAATTGAGGAACGCGGCCGCCATTTGTCGGAACCGTCACGCAGCAAAAGAGTTGTGGAGTTTATACGAAGATGGTGGTCATCTCTATGTCCCTCTACTAGACGTAGAGAAGCACGTGGTGCGCAAGGCTTCGCTTCATCTCCTCATCAACATTCTTCATCAAGAGACACTGCGAATGGAGGAAGAGACACTGCGAATGGAGGAAAAGACACTACAACGAACAATGCAGGAAAAGACACTGCAAGGAATGGAGGAAGAGAACGCCATGGCTGAAGACGAGCGCTCGATGTTGGCTAAAGTAGATACAGAGGAAGAGGGAGAGGAGGGAGAGGGTCCTCAGCAGGGTAGTTCTTACCTCGAAAACCTTGTTACTTTGATGGAGACGAGTCTCGTGAAAATTCTAGACCTTGGGAAACCTTCTTTAAGGCTCAACAACTTACTTCCATTGGTCACTGATGTTGGTTGGTCACTGTCTGAGATCGAAGGCAGAGGTGCTCCCGTGAGAGCTCAGGGAAGATGAAGGGAAAGGGGAAAGCTCTGTGCGCAAGGGGCCTTGTCCCTTCAGCACCAGTGATCAATGACTTTCGACCTTTAAGCTCTGCATTTGCTGCAATGGCAGGAAGCGGAAGGCGCCATGCCGTACTTTTTGCGGCAGCCATGCGATTCCGAGTGGCTCAAGCAGGCGGTTTCGAAAAGTGGCAAGCAGCTCTTGAGAAGCGCCTTGTTAGTACCCTTCTCGTCGAAGCTCGAAGTACAGGAAGCGACACCAGTACTCAAAACGGAAGGACGAGGGCGATTCCACCTGTAGTTAAAGATTCCCTGACATGGTTGTATTTCGCTATAGTTATGGCTCATGATACAACTTCTTCCACATAGGAATGATTATAAAAAATCATCTTGTTGTTGTTCTGCGCAATCACAACAAGTACCTGATTATAGTCTTGTTCTTCATCTTAAATGATGAGAATCTCAGTTCTTTTCTTCTTGGTTTCATCTGAGGCGATCATGACCTTGAATGAATTTAAGATGAATTACTTTGAGTACTACCGTATAGTAGATCCTCTCGACGTCTTTGTTGGCTCTTCTCGTCTCAAACTTACCAGTGGTTACTTTGAGCTACTTACTCAAGCTCATCGGCGGTTAATACTCCTCTCAAGCTTCTCAGCAACAGCACTTCTAATATACAAGCTGGGCGTCCACGTGCGGTGCAGCTTGCGGCTGACATAGTTGCAGATCAGAAAGTATCGGCATTTGTTCGAAAGCTTTGCGTTGACATGTTGAAACATTCATACATTTAAGGCTTCCCCTAATCCACCTTCAGAGGCATCCTGGGGACGATTTTCAAGAGGAACAGGCGTCTAGGATGCGCCTCGACATGGATTAGTGCGAGCTCTAATACATTGGACACCGGAAGGACCGAAACGGAAACAATAGATACTCGCCGCTCATTATGAGCACTGAAAAAAGTATTTGTGTACTCATCCTCATAATATTAGCTAGTTGTATTTCCATTGAATGGCTCTGGTATTTGGAGGTAACCCGATTTTGATCCTAAGTAAGAAAAACAAGAAGAGATGAATCCTTTTGATCAAATTCAGGCTACCAAATACCAGACCAATGCATCCCTGTACTGAAATCGTAGCAGGAGCATTGGAGGGAGTTCTACAGGAGGGATGTTGAACAATAGTGCATAGCTTTGATAGCTAAGTTATAGTTCTTGATCTTGAGTACTATGAGTAAGTACACTTATCTTTACTTTCATAATCGTTCTCGACGACCCCTGCGTTCCCTCTGCTCGCGAGGGCTCAACCTCGTCTGCGACTTCAGACGACCCAGCAGACGACGAGATCGAAGAGATGTCGCTGTCCCGTTATGTCTTAGTGAAGCTGAAGGATGCCGTGATAAAGTTAAGGCAAGAACCAAGGGTGGAGCATCCTCTTCCTGGTGGAGCATCATCCTGGTAGTGAGAATGACCTCTTTCTACTGTAGAAAGAGGTCATTCTCACTACGGATCATCTCAAGCCCAAGGAAGTAGATGATGCGAGGACTGTGCTTAGAGTCTAATAAAGCCAGGGTCGCTGTTGCAGAGTTCTTCTCATGGTGGAGTGCTACGTTGTATTCTACATTTGATCGCAGACTTTACGAGTGACTTGGTCTCAGACCGGCAAGAAGAGAGCAAGATGAAAAATCAAAACATGTTGGAAAAGAGAGGACTGCTCGGAGAAAGTTCAATCAGTAGCAGTACTAGGCGACGAGGAAGCTGCAACTCCTCTTGGGAAAGACAAAAGCGAGGACACATGATCTCTACTCTTCCACGAGCGAAACCAAGTGCTGCGATCGAAAGCATGACATTGGACCAAGTGGCTTTCAGTAGCCTTATCGAAATACAAATTAAGGCTCCACCTTCCGCTAATCCATCTCCTCCAGAAACATGATCTTGATCATCTCTTGCAGTTGTGGTTGTCCCAAATTATATTTACAGGGGTGGAAAACAGTAGATGATTCGTCAAGATGACTCTTGTTCCCAAGATGGAGGAGAATGGGGTCTGCTCGCTCGAAACAAAGCCGGCTTACCGATATAGTAGTTCACCAAAACGCTGGTAGACTGGAAACGATCTTGCGTGAAAGCAGTATTGACGACCTGCGAACCCTTCTTGATAATAAAACCGACCAGGACGCCCTGCGTCGACGGGTTCTCCTAAATACACCAGACGAGGAACCCTACGAGGCTCGACGTTTTGTTCAAGAATATACGCTGGACCTCCACGATATCGACCTTGATGTTGTCAACGAAGATGACCATGATGAATACATCAACGTCTTCTACAACAAGAACTTGATGAACCATACTTCTCCTTCTACTTCTGGCGCGTCCTTGTCTAACAGGTTGAATGAACTCGTTGCAAGTAGAGCAAAATCACGAAGGGTCTTCGAGCTGAACGAAGCGCTGCGGACAATTAACATGATTGATTCGGCTTTGTATCGTCGCGCTTGCGATGCCTTCAAAGAGCAATTCTCTGCTGAAAAAGCACGAGTCTTTCATTTTGTTCATAGCGAGAACGAAGAAACTTCTTCGAGTTCGACAGCGGCGGCCAACAACATGGACGACTACGTCGAAGATTCCGACAAGAACTCTTCAAAGCGTAGTACTACTACAAATAAGAGTTCTACTACAACCTCCAGCAGCCTTTTTGATACCATTTTGCAATATCACGCTAGTGCACCAGCAGGTCAGCCTGCTTTGGACGAGCTGTCTGAAGGAGCAGCACTCGAGCAGCGACTAAAAAACGCCGAGCTTGTAGCTCGTGGCAAGGCATTGGGTCTACTGGTTGAAGTCGACAAATGTCTGTCAAGCGCTATCAGTTCGTTTTTTTATGGCTTTGGCTTTTTTTCAAAATTAGTAAACTATGTATTTTAAGTTTTTTCGCGATTGCTGCTTACACGCCACTATTCTCTGTATCACAGCGACAGCTTTTTTGAGGAATGTTAGAATATCTTCTAGATGATGCTCCTTCCAAATGTTCCACATTAAGTCTATTCCGTCTAAAACTTCCTTCAGGCTCAATATCTTAGGGTTAGTACTGTAGATTCATTACCGTAATTCTCGGCTCTTATCTCAGGCTTATCAGTTAGTAGACGAGTCATAGTTTCCCTCATATACCTTAGCTAGGTTAGTCCCCCCGCCTCATCAAAAAAATTATAGTATTTATACCATAGGAAAGAATCTTGATCTTCATGTTGTTCATAGTTAGTATATCGTTCGAAGATCAAAATCAATGTTAACGGTGAAAAATCTTGTGTTTACGGACACAAATGGTCGGTATACTACGAAAGTGTCGGGAGACTACTTCGTCTCTACGATCGAATGTTGACAGTATTATATTACTCAGGAACACCCTACTACAGCACCTTATAGCAGAGTAAGGTGTTCTTTATTGCTTAAGCTTAATATAGCCGATTATGATGATTACTAGACTTAAGCGCCCGGTAGCACTCACCCCACCAGAATCCCCCACCCTCTGCACGCACTTCGCCCGCCATTGGATTGCGTGGCCCGGCTTGCCCGGCCACTTCCCTCCGCGGCAACTGTCTGGCGAAGTTGATCGGTGGAACAGCACAAGAGTGGGGCTCTTCGCGGCCTGCGGGTGCGGCTATTGAAAAGGCACGCCCGGAAATGGTAGACCTGGGAGCTTGCTGGTCTTACTTCTGTTAGGTTTGGCATCAAGCGTTTAACTTTCAAACTTTTGCCATTCGTCTACTTCGAAGAAACTTAAAAACTTTCTTTTTTTTTTAATTCATTTTTCTTTAATAAAGTCAAAAATTTTGTCACTTTCGCGCTTTCGAGTTTGGTTCTTCGGTTTTAAATTTGATCGCGCGCTTTGGTAAGCGCTGTAGCGTTGTAGGCTTCAGGCTGAAGACTTGAAGCCCCAAGGCAGTGAAAGACTTGGAATCCAGTTTCTTTTAAATTTATCTCTCCTCCTTCGATAAAGTCAAAAGCGTTGCTATTTTCGCGCTCTCAAATTGAAGGCATCAACTTAAAACTTTCCAAAGTCCCAAAGCTTTTACCTTTATCGCCAACAAAATAAATCTAAGCGCCACCTTTAGAGTTTATCGCCCTTTGATAAAGTCAAAAGCTTTGCGGCTTTCGCGCTTTCAGATAGAGGGCCCCAAACTCAATTTAAAGCTTTTCAAAGTCCCCCAGTTTTTAACCTTATCGCCAACAGTATAAATTTCAGCGCCAGGGCCGCGCGCTGTAGGCTTCAGGCTGCCGGTTGGAAGTTCATAAGTTCCGAAGTTCATAAGCGCATAAGCCCATAACTCGCTAACTTCGTAGCTCCATAAGTTCGTGAGTTCATGGGTTTGGGGCTCGGGAGTGGAAGAGCGAGAGTCTGGGGCTCGGAAGTGGAAGAGTGAGAGTTTGGGTGCCCGGAAGTGGAAGATTGAGAGGCTGGGGCTCAGAAGTGGAAGAGTGAGAGTTTGGGGCGGGGTCGTTGTTGATTTTTTATTTAGTTCTGCAATATTTATTATGATGATTATGATGATTGGGGACGCACTGCGCACTACAAAATAGAAATGGCGGACGACCATGGGGTGCATGGAGTAGCCCTCTAATGGTATCTGGCCCACGACCTTATTTGGAGCGGTGAGCGCCCCAAGGAACAAGTGGCGATCCGCCGTTATTTAAGGGTAGGCTTTACTAGGTCTTTCTGTTCTTGCCGTTTGTTATGGCTCTCTTAAGGGAGAAAAACGCATTAACATATGCAGAGAAAAGTATAACGAGCGGGAGACTGGGAGTGGGAGAAAAGCATAACAAACGGCGATCACAACAGAAACAGCAAAAGAAAGCCTTTAAGCTATCTGATGCGAGAGATGCCCAAGATTAACGATCGGCTCTGGGGCTACATTCTCGACAACAGACAAGAGCCAATCCTCTATTAAGGCTGCGTATCTTCGAATTTGAGCTAGCAATAAAATAGACTTTGTACTTTTTTCATATTTTTCTTACTAGTGACACTTTTTTTAGCGTGTCAGTTGATTACCTCTAGGTCTCACTTCATCAACAAGAAGAGAACTATCTAGAAGAGGACTAAAAGAGTGTCAGTTTATTACGTCTACTAGGTCCTCCATCAAGAGGACTACATCAACCCAATTGCGTTACCACTATCTAGAAGAGGACTAAAAGCTTGTCGTCTCATGACGATGTACCTCCAGACGAAAACTGTTGTAGTCCACTTCTAGAAAGGCGGAGTCGCATTACTCAGATGACCACTATCTAAAAGACAGTGGGAGTCACGGTCATGTTGATGATATTGTGTGAAGAAGACGAATTATCTCATCAATCTACTTACTGTTACTCTCTAAGCTTCCACGCGTAGACGCACAAACCCTAGCGACTTGAGTAGCCAGGAGGATTTTCGCAAATCTGTTCTTACGTTTTTGGAAAATCGAGGACGAAAAAGCTACCCTCCAGTATTTATTGACTTCCATGAAGCAGCCAAATTTGTTCCACTTAAGGGTAGGTTAAAGGTGTTCCTGTTACGTTACCGTTTGTTTTGCCTTTTTGAACAAAAGGGAAAGACATCGGCATAATGAACGGCAACGGGGAAAACCAACGGACACCAACCACCTACCTCCAATCCATGTGCCGGCGACAAGGACTTCTTTGAGGAACTAAAGAGGGAGATGCAGCCTTAAGGAGCATTGATGTGGCGCGACCACTCGCGATGAAAAAAGAAAAACATGAAGCTTGTCAGCTTATGCACATCCGTTCCAAGAGTGAAGTTAACGGTGAACCTGTGGCTGGGTCCACTGCCACGTCGCTTAGTCGATCATGTATTAACATGAGAACAAACACATTTCAGCTTAGCCGATCGTCGTTTCGCGTCGTGCTGGAGGAGGTGGACTTCTGCACTAAGCAATCGACCACCATTAGAGCCAGGTAGGCATCAATCACTCTCGAACTCCTCGATGACAGAGGATCAAGGTTGTGCTGCAAGAGCGAGACCATAGCTCTTTTTTAGTATTTTCTTGAATGGCCACATTTACCAATACCACGGTTGATAATCTGGTACATGTGCAAGCAATTTTCATGTGAACAATGAACATGTGCATCTGGATGTGAACTTTCTTTTATGTTTTTGGGCTTCCTCTGGGGCCCGGCGGCGTGCATAAATCAATCTGGTAGCGAGGGATGAATCGAAGGAAAGTATGATAATACATTTATGAAGTAGATCTGGTCGAAAAAACTACTTGTGGTAAGCTGCGAGTGTGACAGGGGCCTTAGAAGCTAAATTTGCCGTGTCTACCTACTTCTACTTGGTCTTCAAATAAAGACAAGTTTGAAGTCGTGAGATGGCTCTTGTTCCTCCTTGCAGACTGGTCGCTACGACCATTCTTAGGTACATACAGAGCCAGAAACCAAGACCAGCACGACACACACACACACACACGAATTTCTCACAGAATCTCGCAGCGTTGAATCTTCACATCGGTCATGATGTTTCAAACAAGTAATTCATGCGCAGGCATGTCCTTGTCAAGGCCACAAACACCATGAACGCGAGGTTTCGGATTTCATCAAATCTAAGATTTGATATTAGTTGCCTGAGTGTGACGCATCGGTGACGCACATCATCAAAAAACTCACAGGTGTCATCGGTTGACGAGGAGAGGAACGCCGCGATGGATGCTCATCAGCGTACTAGTATTAAATCTGTTTTTCTTCCTATTGTTCATCAAAGTTCTTCGTTGTGCACTTCTTAGTCTCAGAAGTAACGACGTACACTATTAGAGAATCGTTTCTAATACGTTGTTGTTGTAAGTAAGTAGTTGGTTCGGTCTGACTCCTCGAGACGAGACTGACAAACTAATTCTGTCGTGCTGGTACTCAAAGATTTAGAGAGATGAAGACGTGATCATGCTGGAATCCCCCAACATCCGCACCATACAAGAAGGAGTAGTCCCGTGTTTTTCGCATTAGGTGACTTCGAGATTTTTCGCTACAACAAGTAGTAGCAGAAGAAGCTAACTGAAACTGCGATCCGAATCGTGAATGTGAATGATCGCATTGACCTCTTCTATCAGTAATCATCTTCTTCTACCCAAATTTACCACTTTCACTGACTGGGTAACTTGTTCTCTTAATTTGATAATCATGAAAAGTAGATGTAGAAGAGTCCCAGATGAAGAATGAAGGTGTAATGTCCTCTAGTCTTGTCTAAGTTGAGCTTGAGCTGTGTTGATAATTATTCTTGCTCTACTTTGGCTGCAAAAATCTAGTTATGAAGACTTGATAACCTTACCCAACAACATAGTTGTAACTCCCACTGCGACTGCACGAGCAGGAGGAGGACGAGGTGGGTATCTATCTTCTGATCAAGCAAAATGTTTAACTACCTTACGTCGAAGCCTCGTGTTGCGAAGGGCAAGAGTCTTGGGCGTGCTCTAGAAAGCTGGAACGAGAACCAATACAACGAGTTGTTTCATCGTCTTGAGCATGGTCGTGGTGAGGATGAAGGTCGTCCTGGGGATGATGGGGAGAGGATACTAGGCTTAGGCGAACAAGCAGAGAAGAAGAAGAAAGAGACGACTACAAGTAGAAATGCGCTGGATGAACAAGCAAACGCTTCCAAAACTTCTAACACTGAGGACACCACCAAGTCTTCATCTTCAACGTCTCTAGAAGTTCTTGAACGTCGTAGTGCAACTCCTAGATCCAACAACAAGAATGGCACAGCTCCTGCTACAACTGCTGGTAAAAAGAAGAGCCCTTCTATTGCTTCTCCTTCATCTTCCTCGTCGAGAAACTTTTACAAGTATTCTCTACCGGATGTTCTGGGGAAGAACAAATCTACTTCCGACCAAAAGAGTCCACCTGAATGGCTCCAGGAGACTCTTGAAGCGGGTGCTGTCCAGCAAGAGGACAGGGAACGCCGTGCCCGGAACTTGGCTAAGCAAAGAGCTGGAACTTTGATTAAGACAACAAGAGCCCAAAGCAAAGTGCATTCCTGAGCCCAAAGTCTCAAATACATGATCATCCAGATTTTAAGGGAAATTAGATAAGAGGCCCCAAGGAGCCCAAGCATGGTCTTTGAGATGATGCGACGCGGTAGCTCTAATTTAGGTCCAGAATCCATCGAACGGCGAAAGCTGCCACGCCCATCGGATGTTCGGAGCAACGGCTTAGAATTTCGCGATGGGCGCTTGGCAGAGGAAAAGCGACAGAGCATAGAGGATGTTGCGAGAAGAAAGCGCGTACAAGATTAAGAACAAGCGCTGTCTTCATTGGTTAACAATAGGATCCATAGAAGCTAGTCGATAGTTCATCTTGCTCTTATAATGTTTTTTCTAACGTCCAGAGATACAACAACATGTTGTCAATGGGGGTGCATCACCGTTGGGCCAGAACCTCCGTGCTAGCGGTGACGCAGAAGATAATGATCAAAATGGTTATTTCCGCGTGTTGGAGGCAGCTGGCGAAAGTCCTGTACCGGCAGCGCGTAATTCGGCTACAAAAGGGGTGATGGTCCAACGTCGTCAGGAAAATGTCGTCCGTTCATCTTCTACGAAAATCTCTACCGGGCCACGCATAATCAATCCTTAGGGCGGGGACTAGGCTAAAGGTGGTCACGCTGCCGTTTGTTTTCTTGCCTCTCTACCTCAGGGAGAACAAAGGCAGAACAAACAGGAGGAAACAGAAACTACACCAAAGAGCTACCTCTAAAATCCCGCGGATGCGCAAGAGCACTCGATTGAGCAGCTGCATGCATTCCCAGCCCATTTGGAAGCCGACCAAATGCACATCGAGTGGCCGAAGGAGACTAGGAGTCAACGATGGGGCCGGGCTCTACAGGATATGTTCGGTTTTGGAACGAAACCAGACGACGAGGACCAAAATAGGTCGTGGTCTGTCCGTCGCAAACGTGTGCAGAGAGAGGGGTTTGACCGGTATGCGGCGCAGTGGGCTACAAAACTTGAGGACATGAACGTGCCGAGTGCGAGTCCTCTTGGGAATTACTCTTTAAGGATGATGAAGGATTTAAGGATAAGATTTTACTAGTAGTCCTTCAAAGAATCGAACAAGTATTGTAGTTCTTTAAGGAATTCTATTCGTAAAAAAGTTGTTGAATCTGATTCCTTCATACAGTACGGACGTGACTACCGCTTGACGAAGACAGAAAGTTGTTGAATCTGATTCCTTCATATAGTACGGACGTGACTACCGCTTGACGAAGACAGAAAGTTGTTGAATCTGATTCCTACATATAGTACGGACGTGACAACTACCGCTTGACGAGCTCTTCTAATGTTGTCACGTGATAAACACGCAACATCTTCACGAGGAAACCTGCCCACCACGAGCACGACGACTAAACACGGAGATGATGAACAACAAGAAGAACAGCTTCGCGATTCCATGCTTCGTGGCGAAATGTCGCTGAGAAGGTACGAAAACGTTAGAAACCGCAAATCCCGCGAAGCCATTACTAATGAATACTTTTCGATGTACGATGAGTCTGAGTTCTTGCGGCTTGAGCGCGTCTTCGATGCCGACAAAAAACGTCGAGAAGAACGCTTTGGTCCTGCCAGTGCCTTTCCGCATGCTTCGAACAAGCCATATGATCACGGTCGTGTGGAGTTTGCGCGAAATTTAGCCGGCGGTCTCTCCCCTAGTGCTTTGAAGCGGATCGACGCTGACAAGGAGCTTCAACAAGCTTTGGCTGAACGGTTATGGCAGCTTTTTTTGAAGATGCAACTCAGTAACTTCTTGTTTGATTCTCTCTTGTCTTTTCCATTTCTATTTCACAATCACAATTCGATGGGAGTAATCATAGCAGGTCACGAGCCAGTCTTTTTCCTTGTTGTTCGAAAGGACCTCCATCAAGAATAAAATCAAAATTTTCATCTAGATCTATTTCAACAGCTCTTCAATCTTCAGCTTCTAAGTTTCGAACGAAGGGAGCGCGATCCACGCTGGCAGCGCAGCGAAAGACTCGTGAATCACATCGCACAAGGGCTGGGCATAGAGGATGCGGAGTCAGACTTACAAGTGTTGGATATCGGAGGATCTTCATCGACAGCCAGCTGCAGTGTCGAAGTAGACGAACACGAAGACTCAGCTACATCGACATTGTCTTCTTTCCTTGTTTTCAAAGAAGACTTGCAGCCAACGGTTTCTAGTACGCGATCATTGTCGATTGAATCCGTGGATCCGGGTAGTGGACCTCCTAGGCCTCGTCGAAGTAAACCGCTGCCACCTTTGACGCTGTCGGATGGAGAAAATCATCGAAACAAGATTCATCTAGCAGGAGAAAACGAAGACAATCATGGGAACCAGAAGAAGACGATCAAGAACGACACGAAGCGACAACTTCTTACTGATGACAATCTGCGTGCTCTCAATTACCGTGCAGGTGTTGCCATGGTCGACGAGGGTGATAACACTTCCTTGAGCGAGCATCACTCTGTGCGTGCAGAAGACGGTCTTGATGTTGCACGAACCGGTGTCTTCAAATATGACGTCAAAAGGATGCAGGTACCGACAAGACTGGCGACTACATCAAGAACAGCATCTTCTACTAACGGGGACACAGCAGTTCTCGATGTAGCTAGTAGAGTTCTCGAAAATGCGCTTACATCCCAGGATCGAGAGGAGGCGTGGAATCAATGGCCCTCAAGTGGTGGACCACAATCTACGGCTAGTAGATCTGCAGCACCTGTTCCACCTGCTCCTGCAAGAACTAGAACTACTTCGACAACTTCTCGAGAGCACGCACACGAGCATGAAGCGTCCGCGACTGCCAGTAGGAAGTTGTGGAGAACGTTTGGATACCACAAACAGCAAGCTCAAAGACGTCCTAAGAAACGTCCACCGGCATTGAAGGATATACCCGAAGGAGTTGAGGAAGAACTTGATGGTGAAGATGAAAACGGGATTTGTAATCCTGCTCGGCAACATGAACAAGAGCAGCTGCATAGAAAGGGACGAAGTTACCGAACAACAAGAAATGTTCTAGCTTCATCTACAACGGCTGGAGCTGATCGTGCTGTTGGTACGGCACGTAGTGAAGTAGAACAAGCAGACGACGTCGATCGTTCGGGTTCGTTGCATGCGTCACTTGTAGAGCAGCCATTGATGTCCAGAAGTGGCATTATGGTTCGAGACGCGCTCTTTCAATTTGATAAACGGCTTTCTGGTACTACTTCGTCTTCGACTAATCAGAGGACAGAAGAGCAAAAGGAAGGCACCCATGCTGTGGAAGGATCTTCAAGTTGGGGAACCTCAACTTCTACTTCTACAAAGAACTACGCATCGTTAACAACATCGTCAATAACGACTACGACTACTTCCAGTACAGCGATGACTTCTACAGCGACGACTTCTACCAATTTCCTAGCGAAAAAGTCATCAGAGGTGGTCATGAAGACGCCGCCAGGAAGTGGAGGCATGCTAGTAAAGTTGGATGGCAGTCCGCCTCCTCGATCCTCTGGAGGGTCTGAGGTCGCGACACCAGCGAAAATCACAGCTGAAATTGTTGGAGAGAACGATGAAATCGATGTTGACCAAAGCTCTCCATCTCCAACAAGAAAACGGTCTCCATCATCAACTCACCCACCCGACACTCCGCAGAAGGTGAGACCTGGGGATAGCAAGAACAGCACCGGTGACGAAGAAGATGTTCGTATGAGCGTCTTGCAGCGCATTTTCCGTATCCGTTCTAGGAAAACAAGGAATAAGGGCAAGAGTGTTCGAGACCCTGTCTGGGTGGAAGCCACTTTCGGAGATGGCAGTGCTGGGTACAAAGCTCGCCGCCGCGCAATGCGAGGCACACCCGCGCCTCCGGATAACGTCATGTCCCGCCACGTGGGCCCCCGCGGACCAGCCCCACCACCAAAGCTGAGTGCGGACACGCTTTTGGCTAGTGGTTTGTCTTTGGCAGACCTGGAAGACAGATATCCGGAAGCAGTTCGTTGCACTGGTTTTTTGCCGGTAGTGGGCAGTGTGGTGACAGGAGCAACGAGCAGCGTCCTCGGCTGGGCACCGAGAGGAGTAGACGCAAAAAGGACATTAATATCATCTTCAAGCTCATCTTCCTCTTCGATGAAAGCAAGTTCTTTAGCTTTAGGTAATGGGATTGCACCACTTGTGAAGTTTTACGACGAAAACAGGCTCACTCCGAGACACAGGTCGCCAACTGGAACTGCGAGTAAGCGACCGGCTTCTGCGGGGTCTCCTTCTCCAAGGAACAGTCGCAATCAGCATCTCGAAGGGCGTTTGGTGTGTTTGAAAATAGAGAAGATTCGTCAGCTAACCGTTGCTCAGGAGGAACGAAATAAGCGACGTTGTTGTCGACGAGAAAAGCGGAAAAAACGAAATGACAGATCAGCATGGTGTTGTTAAGGTCAACATTTAGTGTCCATCTTTCTCGGCATCTTGGTACCCTTTTCCCTTGCATTCTCATGAAATACAAGGTACAAGGGGTCAAGATGAGGGGGCCGAGATGCGATCTAGCAAACTCTAATGGTGCTGTTGTGGCTGTCGTGGGTGTTTGTTGTGCTGCAGCTCTAAGAGTTGTCGCAGCTTGAGTTGCTGCAGTCGACAGCACCAGAAGCCGAAGAACCCAAAAAACGACGGAGACGCGTCAGAGGACGATGAAGACGATGCTGATGAAGATGACAGCATAGGTGGTGCAGTAGGTTCTTCCTCGTTTTTCAGCTTCGCGATTGGTTTTTTGTTATGCGGCTTTCCCATGGCGTCATTTCGTGAATTTCTAGCCTTGTTCGCTTTCCGTGTCTTCGGATTCTATGTCGATGGCTTTTTACGGCAACGCGAGGCAAAAGCTACTGCTGTTCCCAGCGTGCTAGGTGGACTTTCGATCGGCTTGTTGCGAAATGAGACGGTTTACCTGGATCTAAACCGTTTTGAAAGCCGAAAGAGGGTCGAGGCGGGGTCGGACAATGTGTGGAACGACTACACAGTAGGACGAGGCACAACGTCACCAAGGCTGACTGCTGATTTCACAAATAGCCAGCGACACATACGGATGGAGCGGCGGATGGAAAAACGCGACTTGCTAAGGAGAAGGATTGAAGACACGGCTAAAAAGACTAGTACGCCTCAAGAACAACTCCCGAGACCACCGTTTTCTAATACTAGTGTGGACCAGAGGGACAGAACAACACCAACATCAAGCCCATCCAGAAAACGAGTTTTTTTCGAAGGCAGACACGAGGCGTCCATGAATCCACCACCAGACATACCCTTTGACATAGAGCCACCAGAGATATCAATAACTTCGCGACTGTTAGCCGTTGGTGAGAGGAATCGTCGGCACGTAGTAGATCAAAGCGAAGTTGATGATCTCATCGAAGAAATCGATCTAGAAGCGTCTGTCGCTACGACAAGGGAAGCGCATGGAGACGTGCAAGATGAAGACCCCGACAAAGGAGATGGTGTAAAAGCGGAGGAGACTCCTGTCGTTGGAGGAACTCCTGCTGTGGCTGAAATAGCAGAAGATAAAAAAGGGACAGCAGCAGTGTCCTCCCCTGTTGAAGATTACTATTCCCCTTCGAGGCCTGCTACAATCATGAGACCTCCACCTGCGGTGACGCTGTGGCCACGGAGCCTTCGAGAGGAGAAGACAGCTCCCCAACGCGCCTCACCTGATCAACGCTGGGCAGCAGAAGTGGGTAAGAGGAGAGATCGACGCACCGAGTTCCTAAAGTTAGCAGCCAAGCGACGGATGCAGGAATACAGGCGACAGAGAATTCCATACGCTGAGGCAGAACGGCTCGTGCGTGAAGAAATCGCACAAATGAAGGTTGAGAATGTTGATGCCGCTGGTGGGGACACTGATGAAGTGGTACAAAAGGACGACGAGGCAGACGCTCTTAACAGTGGTGATTCGAAGACGGGCGCAGCGATGGAGACCAAAGATCACAACGATGTAAACGACCACGCAAAGACCAACAGATCACCACCCGCACCATCTCCTGGCAGTCCGAACATCCCTGTAGATCCCGTTGACCCAACCAGGCCTTTACCATGCGACCTCCTTGTTCCTGGTGGAGGGACTTCTTCTGCTTCACGAAGCAGAGATGGGGAGCAAGCAACAAGTGCTGTGGTCTTTGACAATCGCGTTTCTACTCATGTGGAGATTGTTGAGGTGGAAGCCGTCGACCAAGAACATGAGAAAGTTGTTCATCAGGAGGTAGAAACAACTCTATTCGACATCAACAGTGAAGATGACAACTCTGCCCGAAGCACAGAGCGCATGTTCCGGTTGCCGCCTCTCCCACCTAAGGACGAGGACGCCGCTACTTTGGAGCAAGTGTTAGCTGGTTATGGTCTACGTCCTGATGGTACGAGGAACCAACCTAGTGAAGCCTTTCGCGCGGGAAGGAAGCCTCTTAGAACACTTAATGGAGAGTTGGCTTCTACGAATGGAAGGATGACAGAACTACAGGCTTCTCCTACTACAACTAGAACAATTTCAACACCGAACAACCCTAGTGGTAGAATGGGAATGGGTCGTCTGGCAGCTCACTCTCATCAAATCCCAGTAGACGTAATCAGTGCGTTGTTGAATGCTTTTGATCCACGCCCAGGATCGAGGAGGCTTCTCGAAGAGTACAACGACGAAACTGGAGGCGAGGTGGAAGTAGGAAAAAAGAACGATGAATCTGAAAATTCACGTGGAGGTCCACTTGGATGGACATTGGCTCTAGAAGACAGAAACTCAGCTCCAGCTCAAAAAGTACAACCTTCCCAAGTTGTCGCAGTCCGTCCAGAAGTTCTCCCAGGCACGGTCGTGGTAACTGACGACTTATGCGTGTATGTGAATGGCAGGGTTGCGCGGACCCGTTTTGACGCTAGATTTACGCGCTTAGGGCAACGCTTCTTCGAACGCGGGTTCAAAAGTTTGCAAGCACTTGGGGAGACACTGTCCTTGTTCTTTACTGCGACGCGTTTGACATTGTTTTTGGACAAAGAACCACTCTGCATTTACGGGTTTACGCATAGGGACAAGGATTACCAAGACGTTGTCTCGGTGGCGGACCCACGATCGCGACTACGAAAATTTGTGACGGAAGTTTGGCCTGTGGTCGCTTTTGGAGGGAGGGGAGCTAGGGTGCAGAAAGTTTCGTGGCCTAGTTCTGGAAGCGCGGTCCCTGTTTCTGAAGCATTCCCTTTTGAAGAAGCTTCAAAGCAAAATAAGCAGACCACTCTCACTGGACCAGTGATCGCAAACCCAGTCAAAGCAACGGACAACCCACCAAATTTTAGCTTTCTAGCAGAAAAAATCACAGGGATGACGAATTTCCGGCAGATTGGAGGTACGGACAAGCGCAAAAACAGCGTTGATGATCAACACAGCCACCTATCCCATCTTCTTCTGGCTGACCGTCTCCTACGTCGTCCAGCAGCCTATGACAGGCATTTGCCCCTTCGCTACCGTCCACCAACTGATTTCCGACGGGCGCCTTTTCCCAGTCTTTGGGCTGAAGAGCAAGCTTTTCTGGCGCGGCGGACTAGGCATTCTCTGAACGACAGATACGGTGCAAATGGCGAGTTGATCGACGCGGATAGAGCGGACAGTGCGTGGCAGCTCAGTATGGAACAGGCAGCTGCAGATGAAAAAGCGATCGCTCAGTGGCAAAATACCAAGCGGGGGAATCTTCGTCCTAAATCTCCGTCGCCTTTGCGTAGTCCACGAGTAGAAATGCAGAGGAAAAAACGACGGTTTCCTAGGATACTGAGCAGAGCTCCAGGAACAAGATTTTCTGCTACCTCTTCTCCCGATAGAAAGAGCAACGCCGAGCTCCAACTAGTCCGACAGTTTCTGCGGGACAGTAAAGCTGTAGCGCCAAAAGAACACCATCCGCCTAAGGTAAGGAGTTATTGGCGTCGTGCACCAGTGCCAACAGGCAAGAAAATGCATCGATTTCTTAGAGGAAAACAGGCGGTGGAGAGGATGACGAAAGATCTGGAGGACCGCGGAATTTTCAGTGCTGTGGATAGGGATGGAAAGTACTTTTTGTGTGCCTTTTGATCACCATGTTTGATGAATGATGTTGACAAGGTAAGTATGTATACAACCTTGAATGATGCCGCCCCTCAAGAAAGTATTTAGCTGAAATTTCCACCATCTTCTTGGGCGGGTAGCCTGTTGTGGCCATTCAATCTTCTATATTCACCTCCATCAGGTCAATCATCCGGTCACCTTCCGGAAGGACCATACGCGGTTTGGACGAAGATGAAGTTGGCATCATTGACAGAGGCCAACTACATCAAGGATCACGACACGCCTCGTCTGGAGGTGCCACTGTGGGGACTTTTCCACCCTTGTCGCCAAGATCAGGAGCGAACCCCAACAACAGTCCAAAGTCCGGAGCACCACCTCAAAGCAGAAAGAAAGTATTCTTCGACGAGCAGCTGTTCAGCGAGACGGATAGCGAGGAAGAAGAAGGCCGCGTCCAATTTGTCATGGCGCACATGCGATACTCGTTTCTTTGTCGCCACGCGTGGCGTTTACTGGTTACCACAATTCTTCTGCTTATCGCCGCTTGGAACCTGGCGATTCTGCCTTGGCTACGACGCGAGAAGTCGGTGGACTACTTCAACCCGGACGATGACCTTCTTTTTTTCCAGCCTCTCACTGGGTTTGTGGCTCTTGCGGTCTTGTTCCTGTGGATGATATGTTGCTGGCCGTCGTTCTGTGGCTCAACCTCTCACACAATGGAGGATGAGCTAAGGAAGGTCGTGGCGGTGCCTAAAATCCTGGGTGCAGATGGGTTTCTAGGAGGGCCATCACGTGTGGAATTTTGATGAACTATTACGTGCTAGAAGAAGGAGGCAGCAAGTAGTTCGAGGAGAACCAGTAGATGATGATGAAGAACTACCCACAGCCACAAGACCCCAAAAGACCTCTCATTCATATTCATGTGTGCGAAAAATGATTCCTTTTTAGTAGTTTTTACTCATGCAACTTTCTTTTGAAGTAGGACTTCGGGCATCTCATGGTGTGTTCTGCAACTACTGATATACCAGACGATCATCTTCTTGACATCAGCTTCAAGCATTTTTGTTTGTGAAGGCACTGATGGTTCTGCTGAACTATGCCTGTGCTGGAAAGAACAACTTCAATCTTTGTTTTTCGTTTTTTTGAGGAAAGGCCAAGAAGGACCATAAGGGAGATTATCGTCAATTTCTTTCATATCAAGTTCAAGTCAAGTATAAAGAAAACTGTGATCGACCACGAGCTATGCGTGTCATAAACACAAAGAGCAATCACGACTAGGATCAACATGCCTGGTTATTCGGAGCACGCTAAGCAGGCTCGCGCAGCCATAGAACGCGGTTTGCGGCCGGACCGAGCATCTCATCATGCACCAGCATACGTGAGTCCATCTATCCCTCCGACACTGCTCCAACACGACGACCAAATCGCTTCTCAACATGCTAAGGCTCCCGAACACGGAGCCGAACAAAACGCAGAAAGCAATTTATCGACAACGATTGCAAAGAACCCCTCATCCTCCTGTGTCCTCTTCGGTTGGCCTGCCCCGCCGCATAGGGATGCTCCAAAGTCACCGTATCAGAAGCTGCGTGACCGAGCTAGAACAAGGAGGAAATCCGTCCGGTTTGCATCGGTCGTCGATGCAAGGGCAAGGGGAGAACAAGAAGCTACAGATGAGGTGGAGCGGAAAGGAGAAGATTCTCCTCGTCGAAAAGATGGAATGTGCGGTGCTGGACGGTTAGCGAAGAGGACACTACGTACCTGCTCAGAGGACAAGGAGCAGCGGCCGCGCGAAGAAGATGATGATGTCATAGTCAATGGGAACAATTATGACTACTCGAAGGATAAGGAAGGACCGATGAAGAATGCTAGCCACGTTTCTTTTAATGAAAAAATCGGTAAAAAAGCAGGACAAGAAGTAGATCATGAAGATATCATCGCTCTCTTGAGTGCCCTCGTCGAACCCTCATCTTCTGAGCAGGAGGACAGCTCGTCTTCTGATGGCAAAAGCGACAGTACTAAGCCCGGCCGTATGGACCGGCAACTGCCCTCAAAAAGAACGAGGAGAAAGGAGAAACAGGAAAAGACGACCACAAGAAGTGAAAAACTAGATGATGATGAAGATGATAACTTTCACAGCCACGTTCGCGCGAAACAAGAAACCGAAGCCGTTGACGCTTTTCTTGGTACTTTGATGAAAACGGACGTGAAAAAACGGAATCGAGTTTTGAAACTCGTCTGTGGCGAGACGCCGACGACTTCAACAGAGATCGCAAGGTTCTGTAAGCGACAGATGCGAGATTTCTTGCAAACCAAGCGACTTAGAGGTGCAGACTGGCTTACGCTGTTCCATCAGGAAGATAAGCGACTTCATAGGCCACTGAATAACGAAGAGTTCACGGCAATCGCGAAGCAAAGAGCGAAGAGGAAAAGAGAAAGGTATTTTCGTTCACATTCTAGCAGCGTCTGGGTCATACATCTTTTTACATGTCATTATTCACGCTAGTTGTAGTTGTAGTTCTTTCATCACGATTCTTCATAACTTGATCAGGTGTGTCGAATCGCGTCGACGACGGAAGCTCTTTCGCAAATGTAGGCTCAAGAAGAAGGAAAACTTGGACCAGCTCTACGAAGAATATCGAGACAAGATCGAGGCATTGTTTGGAGGAGATTCAATGCGGGTGAACAAGGATGAACATGAGGAACACGAAGGTTTTGAGCAAGACATCGACTTCAAGCTCGAACTAAACGGTGCGAGACTACATGAAAATAAACACACTTCTGTGCATGTTGACATATTTGATTCCGATCGACGACAACTACAACATGGACATGTTGATCAACTACATGTTGACCACACCTCTAGTTCGCTGCATCAAGAATGGGAAACTGATACGCAACATACACATAGTACTACAAGAACAACAGAACATGCCGATACCCCGCAACTACTACCACGTCCTCGCAAAACCCGGACAACTTTGAGTAGGTTCCGACCATCACTGCATGGGATAAAAACGTGGCAGTTCTTTTCCAAAACAATCAGGAATGAAGATTTCAACAACGCCGTACAGATTTTCGGTGCTAACCCTCAAAGGCTGGGACAGCGAAAGAGAGTATGAAAATGTAGGGTCATAATAACAGGACGTTGCGCAACGAGAGGAATCGAGGTTCTTCGTAACACATGAAGAGGAACATGTACAGTAAACTTTTTTTGCACAGATCATGTTTGTTGACATCACTAGACAGTCGTGACAAATAGATGAATAGACACCACGACTACGAGGATTGAAGATGAAAAGAGCATGATCTTTCGCAATCATCTAGCCTGCCATGCTGCACAGACTTCCTTCAAGAAGTTTCAGCTGTTGAGTTGCATCACGAGTAGACAGAAAGAAAGGTATTCATCTGCAACAATGATGATTATCTACGAGCTGAGAGAGTTTTTAGCATCAAAAACAGTTGTACTTGTACGATAGGTTTTATCTCCGACGAAGTTTTTATTCTTCTTCTTGTGTTCCGCACGGACTGAAGAAGCCTGAACGAGAGGTGCTATAACGAGTAGTTATGACCACATCAGCATGCAATCGCATCACTTGAGTTATTTGTCCACCATGTGATGGTCCCTGCTTTACATAACTACAGGTGTTGGCACGATGAGTTGAGCCTTGACCCCCTCCTCTATCTTTCTCCACTTTTCAGTAATCGCATCTACATTTTTGGACCATTTTTGACTTCTATCATTCGCGGCGACGAACCCATCACCGGATTGACCGTTTCTTAGTGTTTGTTGCTAGATCTGCATCTCTGAATCTTATTATCTCCATGATCTAGATCTATGTTGATTCTTCGCAATATCTTGTACGTAGAAAAATAACGAAGTTGATGATGACAAAATGACCCTAACTTACAAGGGAGCACGAACAAGTATTCAGGATAGTACAAGAACGTCCACAACCAAGGCCGATTGTACCACGACGATGCTGACGTCTTCAGGGTGCTGTAAGATGGACAAAGCTCCTCCCACGAGGAAGAAAGACACGAGGACGTTGACGCCTTCAGTGGACTACGTCATTCTCTCGCACCTCCATCAATCCGCGCGAAAAATTGTAGCTTCTTTCTGGACGAAGCCAACCAAGATATGTCCTACCAGGTTGCGAACATCAAAGTGTCCCTCTAGTATCAGAGGAACAAAAGGAGCTCACCACAAGAGCAATGGAGGCAGACGAGGAGACCTTCACTCAAGCCTATTGGAGCAGCTTCTGGGTGCTACTCTAGATAACGAAAAGAGAGGCGAAGACTATTTCGCACTGGAGAAGACTGCGCCTAGACCTCCTCCGATGCTATCGTGCACGCGCGTGCAAACGATGCCTATCGACGAGGAAGGACGTGAAATCGTTTGGTATAGGTGGGAAAAGGACGCAAGGGACCTGAACAGGCTGAACAATAGAGATGAAACCAACAAGGTGAATGTTATGGAGCAGAGTGTTATTAAGGAGAAGGAGAAGGTGTTTGTCGTTTTTAACGGTCTAGGCGGACATGCGCGAGCCGTCAATGTCGCCTCCCTGGTAGAGGTACTTTTTACTGCTGCATTCTCGAACAACTCGAACAACTCAGAAGAACCAGCAAGTAAAAAAAATACCATCACCTCCCCCACGACGACGACTAGTAGGCAGCGTATGCTGGTTTACACTGTCGATTACCCCGGTCATGGTGTCGCTGGTGGCATTGCCCGCGGCTTATTGGAGTACCCCCTTCTAGGGGACGTTGCATTGATCGTGACGGCACAAGTGCAAGCGTGGCATCTAGGGTGTGATTTGCATATGGCATCAATGAGCTTTGGAAGCGCACTCGCGTTACATTTGGCCTCTGAGTACGGGCTGTGCTCGAAAAGAGGACAAATGGAGGACGAGGATGACGATTTTGTCAAGATAAAAGCAAACAACAACTCATTGGACGAGGACCATGAGCAGTTAAAGAATAAGGCGGAGAAACCTACTGGAGATATCATGTTGAACAAGACGAGCCTTGAGGAGGAGGAACAAAACAACGACATCGGTGGAGAGGAAAATGCTCCTGCGAAAGCCGAGATTTCACCTTTTTTGAAATCCCTCATTGCATCCAGACGAAAGTGCAAGACCCAAATTTTCAATGGCTCCGACCAGCACCTCAGCTTGGAAGATATTCTCGAGAATCCCAGTGAGACTCTCCGCATTCGAGGTATGATCCTAACCGCGCCACTAGTTTCGATCCACACTATGAAGAGTTTGCCGCCTATTGGAGTGAGGCTTCTCGCCTGGGCTTTCCAGCAAGCCCCTTTAGCAGGTATTGACGTCCAAAACCCGCAAGACTTCGAAAATTCGATCGCCGCGACAATGACGGACATGAAGAAACAAGATGAGTGCCGACAAGATGCTCTACAATTCAAAGGTGCGACTCGCGCAGGCACAGCTCATACTGCGATTCAACTCGTACGCCACAACTTTGAGAAAGCCCCTTCGAGATTAAGATTACCCTGTCTCGTTTTCGTTCCCGAGGACGATCTCCTGGTGGATGACAAAGCTGTGAAACCGTTTTTTGACACTGTAATCAAGCAAAATCCCGCAATGCGCAAGCGAGTGCAGATATGCTCCTTGAAAAACGTGAAGCATTCTATGTTTTGCGAAACAAAAGAGGACATGGCACAAACAACAATACCAGTTCTGGCTGGTTGGCTTGCGTCTTTTAGATAAAGAATAAGGTGATCGAGATATGGATGAGCGCAATTTTTTTTTTTGATGATACACTGCATATAATTATTTTTGATGATACAGTGATTGTTTAGAGGATAAGAAATTAGCATGTTCTTGAAGATCATCATGTCAATCATGTCTTCTTGTCTGTTAGATATTATGCAGATGTTGATCTTGGTGATGAAATAACTACCGAATGGAATCGAGGATGAACAGGTACTACTAGTCACGCTTCGTTCGATCGTCGATGTGGATATGATCGTGTACGACTAGGCATATGTAAATTTTTGAATTACCTTTACCAGATGTTGATGTTCACAGAAAAATCATCATCGTCGTACATAGATAAGTGAGTAACAATTTATTGGAAAAAATTATAGTTGTCCCAGCATATGCATATCCTGATGCTCATGAATAGATTTTGATTTTGTTTTTGATCATACAGGCTCCAGATGAAAAAGCTTGCTGAGCGATTGTCAAGTCTACAATTGGCCCGTCCTTGAAATGAATCCATAGTCATGACTCCTATGATGTTATTGGTAGATATTAGTAGGTTGAATTGTAAGTTTCAGATCGCCGGTCATCTGCCCATGTGTGAAATAAGAAAATTGATGTTGTAATAAAGTGTTGTTAAATAGCATTTCAGTCTTAGCCTGGGACCGCTATTACTCGTAAAGAAAAGGCCGCCCCGGGTCATCACTAGAAATTGTGATCTTTTTACCTATCTTGTCACAGGCTCAGGCTTCTACGTCATTATCATGACGATCACCGAAAGAGAACAAAGCATAAAAGTGGAGAAACTGAAACACCACGTCAAGTGGATCATACACATCAAGTGGATCTGTTCACAGAGTTCTTAACCTTAGTACTTTCTTACAAAGATCTTCGCGGTAATGATTTTCAGTTGTGACTGCTCGAATGGGTCAAAAATTTTGGAAATACAAGGTTCAAAATCAAACTCAAGCACAAATCGGTGGGGGGCACGTAAGATATAATTTCAAAAAGAGATCACGTAGCATAAAGATCTTTGAATACGACCATGAGAGTGGGATAAAACACCATAGTAGAAAAAAGGAAGAGAAGTCATAGTCTTACTCACTGTCACAGCGAGTAGTATTATTATTCGTTTACTCATCATGAAATTTTTGAAAATCATCTACTTCACTGAAACCTTTTTTACAGGCAGGAAAAAGAAAAGACAATATTTTTGAGCTATTTTGGCCTGTAAACTTCGACATCATCATTTTTTTTGGCTAGTGTTTCTTTCCCTATCCCTTCATCTACTTCTCCTCGATACAGAAAGATCAAGAATAATCTCTTCTTCGTCCTCCCAAACTCAGAAACTACACCTATACCCAAAATTTCAAAAGCGTATCACCTCTAGTGCAACCAATTGTTAGAAAGAGTAAGAGGAAGAATTAAAGATGTCTGCCGCTGCTCGACCGAGCAAGAAAAAACCCGAGGCTGCTGGGTCACCACCAGGAGTCATCGGTGGCGTTGTTCCCTCAGCGCGAAGTGACGAGGACATCGCTTTTCTGCTGGAGCGGTCGCCGAAAGAGGACCGAAAGAGAAGAAGACTCCGATGTCCTGTTCGCGGCGAGAAGAAGGAAGCAGGAAACGATGTTGGAGATGATGTTGGAGAGTCTTCGGCAGCTGCGCTTGATCATTGGGCTTCTATGGATACAATCACGCAAGCAGCTGTACGAGCCGAACGAGTCAGCGAATTAGTAGTCGACGCGTCGCGGTCATTGATGCTTTATCGATTCCATGATATTACAACATCAAGCACGCAGGAACAGGATATTAACTACAAGGAGACCACTTGTACTTCTAAGGCTACGTCGTCAAGATCAAGCACAGACGAGGAGGATAAGGAGATGACCACGATGACCACTACGGGGGCTGCGGGTGCCGTATGCTGCTCTTCTAGTAGTACAGGAGTGTCCACCACCGCGGTGACAAAAACGTCAACCACGAACAAGAAGGTTTTCCTCATCTATCCTGGTCTTCATGGTCATGCACGCTGCGTGAACGCTTGGTACATGGCTGAATCTTTTTTTGCTGCAGAGAAAAAGGCAAATCTTCAAAGTGAAACAAGAAGTCCACAGGAGGACAATCTTCAAAGTGAAACAAGAAGTCCACAGGAGGACGTCAACAACGAGCACATCATCGTCTACGCCGTTGATTACCCTGGACATGGTGGAGCTCGTGGAGTCGCACGAGGGTTGATAGAATACCCATTGATTACGGATATCGCGACGATGGCTGCGGCACAAGTGCAAGCGTGGCATCCAGACCGTGACTTGCACTGCGCTGCTATGAGTATGGGTGGTGCGATTTTACTGAGCGTTGTGACGAAGTATGGGTTGAGGGAGAAAGAAGGAATAGAGCAGGTCGTGGACGATGTGGCAATGAAGAGCGAGGAAAGTCAAAGTAAGAACAACACAACGAAAAGTACAACAGCACCAGCAACATCAAGAACTTCATCACGACCCACAACCACTTCTACGTCTTCGCCGGCTGCTCAGCAAACTTCATCTCCCTCCAGGACTGCTAAGGAGCCTCTCTCTTTCGAAGAGATTCTCGAGAACCCCAAGAAGAACTTGCGTGTGCGATCTGTGATTCTGACTGCGCCACTCATTGCGCCGTACCCACTGCGCAAGGCACCAAGATTTGCATTGGATTTGATGTCACGCGCAATGAACAAGTTGATTCCTCGTGTAGCCGTAGCTGGCGGCGCTAAGAACAAAAAGACCGAAGAACTTCTGATCCGTGCCACAGGAGATGTAACCAAGAGGCAAGAATGCAGGGATGATTTGCTCCATCATAAGGGTGGTTGCAGAGCAGGCACAGCGCATTGCGCTTTGCAGTTGTGCTTGCGTAACATGGACTCGGCACCAACGAGAATGCGGATACCGTGTTTGGCCTTAGTGGCTGAGGACGATGCGATGGTCGATGACAATGCAGTGAAGCCGTTTTTTGCGTCAGCCAAGTTGATGCCAAGTAAAAGCGCAGTGCACATTCTCTCAGACACGAAACACTCGATGTTCTGTGAAAGCAAGGAAAAGCTAGCGCGAACGACAGTACCGATTCTGGCAGATTGGTTTGCTTCTTTCGCCGCGCCAACTTCTAGTTCGCAGGAGCAAGCGCAGTTGTAAAGAGATAGGCCTACTAACAGCGCTGAGTCGTGATCGACTACTGCAGCAGACTTTTTGAACCATATTTTCGCCGGCAACTGAAGTTTCCGATTTAGAAGTACTGGAACAACTACATGTAAGAGAAACAAGTAGCAGACAGGGAACAAGATCATAACGAACGAACCCCGACACATTTATTTTCCATGTTGGTGTGGCAGTCGTAAGATGAACATAGATACTACTACTTCACATGAAATTATATCTGAACTTGATGTTGTACAGAAATAAATGCGCATGTACTACAACTAAGGTTGATGTTCATTTTAGCATGCTTCACGTTCACACGCAAACTCAAGAACACGACACGTAAGTACATTTTTTCTTAACCCGCTCATTTCCCCTGCTTCGTTGTCCGAACACGACCGACTGCGCCACCTCCTTTGAATGACTCGTTCATGAGGACAAAATGTTCTCGATTATAACGAATGTATTCCCAAACCTGAGGCACTGCTGATTCGAAGTTTATATGTACTTAAGTAGCCGGTTCGTTCTAAGGAAAAGACGAGCTTCATTGATGTAAACGCTCGAAGAAAGTTCTCTGCAGGCTAGTGCGTTATTGCCAGATTGTCATCTTCAACACTATGTTGAGCTTGAACATACAATCAAGAGAGCGCATCCACTACAGATGTAGTCGCTCGAGATCAAAAATCGAAAACGAAGAGGAAGTAAAGATCGCTTGTTCCCATCTTTTTAAGAAAACGACTTGATAAATTGACATGAAAGATTTATATTATGCACGGTCAGCGAAATTCACTGAACATCAACTTCGAGCCTACAGCAGGAAAGTTGTTTGCAAGAAAGTTTTTTTTCCGGGCCGGCACGAATAACTATGTATACTGATAGGGGATCTTCATTTGAAAACCACGACACCGGCGTGCATTGAACATCGATTTTATTGATCGCTAACCTAATAAGAACAATTCATTCTTCTCTTCTTTTTCTTTTTAGAAGAAGACACTGCCTAGAACAAAATGGCTCGTGGACACCAAGCTCAGCAAGCGAAGGAGAAAAATGCCAAGGAGGCAGCGAAGAAGGCCAAATCTGGTTCGCAATTGACGGCGCAAAAAGTAGGGCTCAAGATTAGCTGCAAGCTATGCCTGGTATAGATGAAGTTTTCTTTTTGTTGTATTATCCAAGCGCAATTAAAATTTAGGCTTTGTGAATCACATGTGGGTCCTCATACTCTTACTCTTACACCTCCTAGTTGAAGACCAGCAATTTTCTGCATTTTTACCATCGAAATGAGGGTATGAATATCTTCATTCTTCCACTGTCGTGATACAGACATGAAATTTTCAATTATTTGATGTGCTTCGTCTACAGGCGCCAATGACGAACTACAAGTGCTTGGTGCAGCACTACGAGGCGAAACACCCAAAAGAAAAATGCCCGACCGAGGAAGAAATATAGCACGAGCATTTTTACCCAGTGCGTCGTTGCATTGCACGGACGACGTCGCCCCATTTGTAGCCCTACTGTACCTCTACGACAGAGATGAATGTTGTTCAGAAGGAGTAGAAGAACAAGAACATCTTCACAGCGCAGCAAATTACAGCGATCCCAAGTGTTTCGACAGTGCATCTTCATCTTTGCAGCACGCCTGTGCCTACAACAAAGACGTTTTTTATTGGCGCGGAGTCAAGGGGAGAAGGCCAATGCGCCGAGCACAACTACGAAGAAGAACTGCAACATGTAGCACTTGTGATTGTTTAGGATCCAGAAAGTTTGCTTTTGCAGATCATTGTTGTTCATATTTTACGCAAGAGTAGAGAGGAGCAAAAATCATGAACGCATTCGCTCTTAATCCGTACGAACTGTGCTATCTTGAAGCCATATCCATTCCATCATCGTGACGTGTTACGGAGGACTACCACCTGGAGCTATGGTCTTGCTCGTGTTCTTCATTCCAAGAATGCAGCAACTACTGATAGATAAGAGTCCTGAAGTGTTACCACGGAGGACTACGGAGCTATGATCTTGCTCGTCTCCTCTTATCTAAATGATACGATTCTTCAACTACGATACGGCTATCTATGTTATCCTGGAGCTATCATGGTCTGCTCTCCTCTTATCTATCAGTGGTTGCAAGGCTGCAGTTCGGCAACTACTGATAGATAAGTAGAGGAGGAGGAGTCGACATCGGGATGGATATCTGGCTAAAGATCTGTCTACTTATTCGGTTTTCATCAATATTTGTAGACAACGACAACTTAACGTCGTTGTTGATCTCGTTGGATTTAGTGGACTTGGACAATTCAAGAAATTTCTCGGTCTTTTGATCGTCGGTCAAGCTCTGTAGATGAGAATCAGTTGAAATCATCGGGTTCCCTGCTGCGGTCCCTGTGAGGATGCATGTGAAGGTAATGAAGCGACGAGGACGACAAGAAGGACGACACCACCCCTGCCTCTAAACTTTTCCCTGTCAAATTTTTCCCGCTCCTCGTTGATGGTCTTGTTCTTGTCTTTGACACATAACTTCTTACATGTTGTATGATGTAGTTTCAGTAATCGTCTTTCTCAAAAGACTGGCTTATCACACAAAGACAAGCGAGATAGGGACAAGCAACAAGATATGTAGGCTTCTCAGACAGTGTTTTTAGCAGAACTCGGTAATTGTGTTGCAGCATATCCACATCCCGCTCCATACACTTTGGCGACTCCTGCATTGGTCCTCGTTAGTTTGAAGTCCTGCTCAAGACTAGCATCGACCAGGGTCGTGGCGCACGCCGAGATGAAACAGGGAGAAGAGATCATCGCAAACTATAATTTTTCTAGAGACCACTGCTGCAACGTCTAGTAAAAGAAGCCGCCCAAGAACAAGGAGTTGTGGAAAGTAGAAGCTGTCATGCAAGAACGAGAAGTAGAAGAGCATCTGCATATTCATAAGAGACTAAAAAAAGTCTGAATCTGAAGACACGGCTGCATATTTGCCTACGCCATCAGACACCGCGACGATCCACAACTTACTCATCGTGAAGTATAAGGGGCAGAGCAGACAAGAAAGACAATGACCACCTCAAGAACATCAACTGCTTTCCTTTGATGCTTTCATCACAGCAATAAACAATCACCTCCTTCGACAAGAAGATGTTTAGTAATCTGCCTTCGAACAGTCCCCAGACAAAGAAAAGTGTGCCTGCGACTCGTCGCGGCATCACATTATGGCACCTCGCGACGCTAGGGGACTCGGAAGGCCTCTTGAGCCGAATAAATGAAACTGGAGAACCGGTGGACTTGTCAGAACCCGGGACGGAGAGAACGTCTTTGTGGATTGCAGCGAGTGAAGGGTACTTACTTACAAAGATTGCATTCTTTTAATATTTCATTTTTTGATCTTGATGTCGATCTCGATCTAAATTTTTGGTACCAGCTTGTTGGTGAGACGCGTAACTACCGTCCTTCACATACGAGGACTCTAATAGTACGTGCTGATATCCCTTGATGTTCCCCACCACGACCTATCTAACAGTCACCTCGACACCGTAAAGCTCCTTGTCGCTTTGGGCGCTGACCCTCAGAAAGTATGCGAGGGTCGTTCGGTGGTCGACATCGCACGAGCAAGGAGTCAGCCACACGTCGTTTACTACCTGAAGTGTCAGAAGGACTATTTTGAGTCCTTGCACAGAAAAAGTAGCATATCGTTTAAAGCTCGCAAGGTGGCTCTTCTCATCGGCAACACACACTACGAGACACTGGAGCATGTGCCGTATGTTATGACTTGATGTGGAAGGAGAAGTAGTTTTATTTCCTTTGTTTTGCTAGGCAGTAAGTAGTTTTTCCTTCGTTTTGCTAAAGGCCTGACGAGTAGTAGTTTTTCCTTTGTTTTGCTAGAGGCCTGACGAGTAGTAGTTTTTCCTTTGTTTTGCGAGAGGCCTGACGAGTAGTAGTTTTTCCTTTGTTTTGCTAAAGGCCTGAACAAGATGGATTCAAAAGCAAATGACAATTGTGACAAGACCTCATCAAGAGTCACACACACACAACTTCCGATAGGAAGGATTATCATTAGAAGTGCGGGAACGGGATTCCTCGCTGAATGAATATTTCTGCACAGACTCAGACAAACAATCATCTTCTCTCTAATGGACCCAAAAGCGACGTCGCCGTGGTCGCTAGACGACTCGCAGCGATGAAATTTGAGACTTTCGTCAGAACAAACCTGAGCACAGTAGCGATGAGCGACTTGGTGGACCGGTTTTTAGAGCCATTGCAGGTAGCGGACACGGTTCTCTTCTACTTCGCGGGTTTGGGGTGCAGGCAGGCTCACCGAAGTCTGCTTTTTGGCGTGGACAGGAAATTCAATTTAGTTCCGGAGGAAGAAAAGCTATCAGTCGAAAGCATAGTCGAAGCATTGCTGACGCGGTCAGGGCAAAAGAGGAAACGAGAAGTCAACTTCAAGCCGGTAAATTGCTTCTTGTGCCTCTTGGTGCAGCTGCTTATGTCGAAAGATACCCAGCATCTTGCTCTTGACTTCTACGCGACTGAGGAAATAATACTTGCCACCTCGTAGCTACTAGACCCATCATTCATGTAGGCTTAGGTACACGATCTACAACCAATGAAAAACTTCCTCCCCCAACCAACCACAAACAAGGACCGAGCTCGGCGCCAACAAATAGCCAAAGAAAGGGGTGCTTCGGTGATCATTCTAGACGCCTGTCGGTCAGTGCAGAAAACCGGGTATCGAGAAGTGGATGCGTCAACGTTCGGGTCAACAGAAATAGGGTTCTTCGATGAGGGCATTACGCCAGGAAAGCAACTCAAGGGTCATGGCATTGGCATTCCCAAAGGGACGCATACGGGAGTGCCGACGACAGCGTTGGATCAGGTGAGTAGTTTTGAGAAGCAGGATTGTTGAAAAATAGAATAAACCGTGGGAGTGCTGGTAATCATCTATTATTGAATTTCTGCTTCAACTTCATCTTCATCTGCAAACCCCAGTTACATCTCTTCGAACCTTCCCCTCCATCACAGACCGGCTTAATGACGACCAGCTACAACACAGCGAGTAGCAGTAGCCGGCCCGAATTGTCCGGTCGGGCGAAGTCATTGCTTTCACAGAGGCAACATCTCCTGACGACGATGAACAATCGGTCAGTTCCGTCTGGCGAACTCTACGATCGTGCACTAGCCAATACCACTGCAACGCACATGCGAAGGCCATACACGAGGAAAGAGTTGGCGTATATCCAAGCCCACGGACAAGAGGCATTGGATAGATTAAGGAGCATGGGGGCGACGAAGTACTGCTTTTTTTGCTATTGCTCTGTCTTTGAGTTCGATTGAAGCGAGAGCATAGTGATGAATACTGATGAAAGTGAAAGAACCAGGAGAAGGTTCAGCAGATTGATCGTCATCTCATCGGGTGATTTCAACGTGAACAAGATCATCAGACTCAACAAACATCAATTTATCTTCCTCTCCCAGCGCCACCGAGCCTTTCCCACAAAGTGGTGCTCAGAAATCGTTTCCCTCAAAGTGTGGCCCGCAACTTGGCGCTATACCAACAAAGCACTTAGCACATTATCCGGGTAATCGAGAGCATGTCTTGGACCAAGAAGGCCTATGGGCAGATCTCGCGGAAAGGAAGAATAGCTCAACGGCTGCGGGGAAGTATTTTTGGACTTGATGACAGAGATCATAGAAGTGTTCTGCAGCGGAGCGGGTAGTAGTAAAAAGTTCAAGTTTCGTCTCGTGAATATTTAGTGGATGACTGACCAACAAGGCAGCTTCTGATTTTTACTTCAACCGTACTACAACATAAATATTCTAAAAACTACAACAACATCAATCTTGATCACCACCATCAGCAAATCTTCGGGCCCTATGCCTTTCGATTCACGGATGGGATCAGGACAGAATTTTTATGCTTCCAGTGGACAGCACAACATAGCAGACATCACTAGAAACAAAGACGTTGGCGCTTTCATAGCCGGTGGCGGTGGTCATGCAGAAGCAGTGGCCGGAGGTACTTTTTTTTGCAAAGCAAGAACGAAGAGGATGTAGAAGAAAGAAAATGTAGTTCGTTAATGGTGAAGTTGATTTCGGTCTGAACGAGGCCATTTTTTTCAGTCAAACCTAAGTCTTAGCTTGCATCAACATGTCGACATCATTATATTTTCCTAGTAGGTGCCGAGGCTTCCACCATGCGTGTCCGAATACCAGAGCACGGAGATGGCGGAGGATCTTTCGCAGCCAGCGAGCAAGGATTTGTCCAACAGGCGGATCCTACTAGTCTCAACTACAACCCCCGTTACGGCATTGGCCGTGAAGACATACTGGAAGAGCGGCAAGAGCGACATATGCGAAGTACAGAGTTGCTGCCGGATCTAGGAGCTACGAGTGACGGTTACAACCTCATGATGCAGAGTGGAGGCAGTTGGAGACCAGCGTCGGCAAAGCATGAAGAACAAGAAGAAGTAGAACTCGGGTTCGGCACCTCTAAACCAGTAAAGTCATCGGCCAGAAATATTGGTGGGTCAGGCGACGATCGAGAGGGGCAACACAACAAACCTGATGTGAGCAATTTCCCTGTGTTTCAGACCCTGAATCCAACGAAAGCCAGGAATGAGGAGCAGCGAATCGAGGACCAAGATTTCGCGTTCAAGCTCTTGGAAGATAAAGTTATGTCTTAAATCCACTTCTTGGCTGGTGTCCGTTTTACAGTGATAGTTTGCACGAAGGGATAGACCTAAAAGCAGAGGGAAAACTGACTGGTTGCCAGGTTTTAGTGATAGTTCAACATCTTAATACAACCATGGTGATTCGTTGTCAGACACTTTAGAACGGGACAGATTGATATGTAGTTTGCTCCACTGTTGTAGAAAAATTGTTCAGTAACATTGACAGAGGAGTTAGCATGGGTAGAAAATGAATCGTCAAACCAGTGAAGCAACCTCTAATCACCA